GCCGGAAAGCAACAGATTAGCATTGCCGAGGGGAGCAGGCTGCTGTAGCGTGTTGTAATGCGGGCTGTCAGGGCGACACAGTTGAGGGGGCTGTACAAAGCCTCCTTGTTCAGACTGCACCCCCCCCACCACCCTCCTGCGCCCCACCTCACCAGCTTTTCATCAAACCTCCGAAACTACAATATCCCTTCCGTTCTGCAACAAGAGCGGCGTTGAGGAAAACGAGAAGGAGGGACCGAAAGGGGAAGTTCGGATCGATGAAGGAGGTGGCGGAGGGAGGCTAAGTCAATCAGATGACGGGTGACGTAAACCGGCGCTCATCACCCATGAGCCGAGGAGATTCAAAACTGTTGATGGCATTTTAATATTTTAGGTTACGGGGCTACACGTGCGCTAGCGTTAGCTTACTTGCTGTGTCTTGGGGCAGGGGTGTCAAACTCATTTTTGGCGGCGGCCACATTTTAGTTACCGTTCGAGGGTCGTTATGACTGTTTAAGTTACTATCATGAGGGGTTTGGTAACAAGAAAATTCCTTCGAATATATCTCTCTCTTGTTGATTACATATGAGAATTTAACCTCATGGGATCATGGAAATTGACATGTTTGAGCTGCTTTCGCGGGCCACATCAAATGAGGTGGCGGGCCAGATCTGGCCCCCGGGCCTTAGGTTTGATACCATGCCTTAGGGGGTCCCGTGGTTTGCCGCGGTCGTCACGGACATGGTCAGTGTGTCCTCTTCAGTGCACAAACTAAGGACAAGAGTAGCGGTAAGCAATCCCACAAAATGTCGTAGGGACGGAAACTGCTGGATGCTAAATAACAATTTGCCATCATAAGTCAAGGAGCAGTCGTCATGTGATTTTTAAGACGTGTCGTATTCTTAAGATCCCGAGAACTCTGCACAAGTGTCTCTTTAAACAAGCACATGATTTAAAAATTGCAAACGCGTCAACTCCAGTCATTCTGATGAAATAATAACGAACTGAAAACCCTTCAAACGTTGTTTTCGCACCACGCTGAACATCACCCCGGCGACAAAATAAGATTTAATAAGCTCCTCAAGCATTACGACGCCGCGTACGGCGGCACCGCAAGGAGACGACTTTGATTGGCGCACATTAAGGTGCCTTGTGTGCCCAGACTTGACTTGCTTTGACACAAAGCTTTGAGGCACGTCCACGTTTGAGCACACGTCCACATTAATCACGTCAACGCCGCTCTTTCCACATGCTTTGCCTTTTCACTCTGGAATGTCCATGAGATTGTTTCAAAGTGGTCTGAAGGTAGATAACACCTTTGATAAGCTTAATTTTTTTTTTTTAAAAAACGTCACAGGCCCAACTATACAGTATACATTTCGGTAAATGGTTTAATTGCTCTGCGTGCATGACTTGAAAGAGGCTCCGCCCCAATTCAAGAGCACTTGGTAACACACATGCACACGCACACACAGGTGCAATGTCTGCTTTATGTATTTGTGTGAGCTGAGTGTATCTTACAGGGAGGAACCCTTTCAACACTTTTTTTTTTTTTTTTAATAGACACAAAGATGCACCCTAACGACAAGCATAACAACTATTTGGGTGTCTGGAGCATTAGGTATTCCAAACACTACCTTCAATTTGGACTTCAAAAGTATGCGTTTCAAATTGCGGTCGTCCGCCTCTTCGTTTCATCTTCCTGCACTTGAGCTAACGAGCGCCGAATCAACTTTTGAAGGTCTCTTTGCAGATTCCAAAATCGCATTGCGTTTGGAAAATACAAGCCTGCGTGTGTGTCTCTCACGGAGCTCTGCGGTTTCTGCTCCGATATAAGACAAAGACAATGATGATGTCATCTTCTTGCATCTGGAACTTCACAAGAAGTAAAACTCCCCCCTGCGAGGAGAGCGGGGGTCTTATGTCAAGAACCTTGCTGTCCGCCTAGCTGTCTGCCTGCGGTGGGCTAGACAAAACAAGTCGGAGGCTCTATTTGTTTAGATGGCGCTCACCTGGCCCACACACGCACACACACACAAGCAGCGTTTGGGGAGAGCCCCGGGGAGGCAAAGCAGTTAGGAAAAAGGAAGGGGAGCTGATGAGTCCGCGTGTGTGAAAGCGGGGACAGGGGACATGTGGCGGTAGTGCGCAGGTCTGCGTTAAACCTCATCCAGCGGCACTCCAAAAAATACATAAAAATTGAGCAGATTAAGGGGCCAAGTGTATGTGCAACATTTTCAACCAAAAATGGGAACTAACGGCACAAGAATAGAATTTCTCAGCCTGAAAATGAGCTTCCAAAGGGCAGGTTTTTGAAGACAATGCTTAAAAACTTCAAATCAAGGCAAGACAGAATGGACATGAAAGTATTTCGCAATAAAAACAACAATGAAGTTTTTGTGGTGTGGGAGATCTACAACACCGATCGAATCAAATCCATTTCAAAACCAAAAAATATGGCAACAAAGTGTCTTTGAAAAATGTTACTGGGTTCGGACCACAAGAAGAAATCGTTTCGATCTTTTCATGCGAAATATTTCAAAAAGAAGCGACCCGATTTCACTTCATCGGCGCTTCAAAATGATTACTTATTAACCTACGGACGGTACAAAATGAATCACAGATGCAGAGTTCATAGTTACGATGCGCTGACCTCAGTTAACCCCTCTGCGCCCCCCTCCCCCCAAAAAAAAGCTTCACATCCCATTGACTGGGGTTAAATGGGTTTCGTCAAAGGAAACGGAGTAAAAAAAAAAGAAGCAACCGTCACTGGAGGTTTTGGAGAGGATCACGGCAACACTGATGATAGGCCAGGCCGGCCGGGCTGTGCTTCCACCTCAAGATTTTCGCAGTCTCAAAACTGAAGGTCAGAAGGAAGTTTGGGAGTTTTAGTTTCGATGTACAAGTAGCTTGAAGGATGCTGCGTCAGCAATTCTCGTGAGAAATGCGATACACGGGGCGCCGGGAAAGCAGATCGTATCGCAATGTAAAGTCAGCCACCTTGGTGAAGATAAAGTTGGGGGATTACAGGTGTAAATCGAGGGGTTCGTAGGTTTTGGATGGATTGCTCTACGTTTGGAATGTGCAAAAAGGGGAGGACGATTTCGTTTGAACACAGCTTTCCTTAATTTTTCCAACGTCTGCCTCGTAACAGTCGAAGAAAACCCCTTCTTCCGGTAACGATCCCACTTCCTGCTTTTCTTAGCCAATCAGATGCAAGCAACATAAGAATATTTCAGAAAGTGTTAAACAGAATATAATTTAGGTAAATGTAACATAAAAGAATATAATGCTCAAATATAAAATGATAATAATTTACAATTTATCAAAAGCTTACACAAGCAAGCCCCCCCCCCCCCAAAAAAAAAATTGCCGAGTCGTAGCAGTGAAAGTGACAAGGCAAACAATGGACCATTGCCGAACGGGTTCCGCCAAAGCCGCCATTTCAACTCATTAACTCCGAACTATGACAGCGCTATTAAATAATCGCGTCTGAGCCGGTCTATTGGTAAATCAACTCCAAGTGGAAACCTGTAATCGGCTGTTCTAAAACCCTCCCCCTCACCCCCCTTCTTGCTCAATTTAACTTCCAGTTGATTCAGATTTAGTCGGGGCGGGGGGGCAAAAACCGACAAGCCCGCAATCACCGCGAGTTTGTTCACAGCTTTTCATGACAGCCTGACATTCAAGCGCATGTGACCATTTCGGTCCATACGGACGGCATGTGACACGGATGTGCTCCTTCGCGGTGTACTTTCCGACCATTAGACCCCATTAGGGAGCAATTAACACCGCCACCTTCCTGTTTTATGACACAGTAAACAAAACCTACAGGCCTGCTTTGGGCTCAGCAACAGCCGTGAATCCAACAAAGAGGCTCATTAATTAAGTGTTCCTCCCCGATTTCATACACAAAGTCTTTCTCGATAAGACATCGGGTCCCTCAGCTTCCGTCACGCCTTTGCGCACAAACTGGAGCTGGAAGAGGAATTGGCAGGTTTCACGCACTTATACGAGCTCGCTCGTTTACTTTGACAGCCGTCCAACGCAAACCAAAGAATATTCGTCTGCAAGCCGCGCTGTGGTATTGTTTGCGTTCTCGTCTCTGCTGTGAATCCAGGAAAGGTCAGGACATTATCTCGGTAATAAGTTCCTTCAAGTCACACTTTAACCACACTTGGTTGTCGTTTATCGCCACAGATAGGCTTTGCGCTTCACTGGTCAACTTAAAAATAAAGATGCGGTAGAGTGTGGAGGCCAAGTAGCGGGATGGCTTTTTCATGACACGTCGAGAAAATTGGGAGTGCCATCATCGCAAAAAACGGAAGAGTAGGAGGTTCCAAATCAAAGCTCTCCAGTCACAAATCAACAAAAAAAACAAAACAAGGCAGACAACCACGTGAAATGCGTCGAGCATGTCAGCAAATCGTATCTTTTGAGGCAGCCCTGTTCAACTGTTTACACTGAAGAGCCACATAAACAACACAAAATACCTTCCGTGCGTGGGTCTTGAGATGAAAAGACTGAAGACTAAAAACATTATGTGCATTCGATAACGCAGCAACTCGCACCTGCTTCATTTCTCTGCCAGACATGCTAAACGAAATCTGCACAACTATTGAGCCACGTGTTTAGTCGATACTACACAACAAACGGGTGTGAGCGTGTAGCAGTCAGTACATACCGCGCAACCTCGAACGGATTAACTAAGTTTACTTTTCGAGGGAGAGCGCATGTAAAAAAAAACACGCGCTACACAACAAACGTGTGAGCGTGTAGCAGTCTCAGTACATACCGCGCAACCTCGAACGGATTAACTAAGTTTACTTTTCGAGGGAGAGCGCATGTAAAAAAACACGCGCGATCGCTATTTCTGGATCGCAGCTGCTCCACTCTCCACCCAATCTGTGGCGCAGCAGAAAAAAACAACAACAAGCGCGTGCACGTGTCAGCTTGTCGTTGCCTCGGAAACACTAATCGATTGCGTATTTGGAACGCGAACGTAAACATCACAAACTGACCTGAGAAGTCCGATGAGCCCGTGGAGCGATCGCAGACGACGGCCAGGCAAGTTATTCCTAACAGGAGCGCAGAAGTGACGGCTGACAGAGTCCCATCGAGGTGGAACATCCTTGAAGAGTCAAAGGCGCATGTGAGATCCCGCTTGGGACCAGAAAGTCCACATCGGAAGTAGCAGCAGCAGCGCGGGCGAGAAGGTTCCGAGTGGCCCGCATGAGACGTTCGACGTCCCGTCAAGCGCGCTCGTCACACCGGGATGGAGGCTCTTCTTCGACTTCTTCCTCCTTCAGGCTGCAGCTGCAAGCTTTTTTTTTCTTCCCTTCTTTGAACTCAGCGTGGTGGTAGTGGTGGTGGAGGCAGCCCACCTAGAAGACGGTCGCCCGCCCTTCTGCAGGCTTCCTGACACCTGCAGACGCAACTGGACGAAATATCAGATTACTTTTATGCGACTGCTTTGATATAAAAAATAAAATAAAATAAAAAAGTTGCCTCGATTAGAATATACGAATCGTTCATTGTTTCAGCGATTTTCCAATCACACTTGCAATGTTGTACTAACATCAGATCGAATCCAGGCGAATCTCAGTAAATTATATCGTGGAAAATTCATTTCGGTAGTTGAAAAAAACATTTAAAGGGAGTCGCCACTCAACTCAACTGTATTTATAGAGCACTTTCAAACAGCCATCGCTGTTTGAAACCACTAGAAAGAACTGAATTTGGTCGGTCAGCTTTTTCTTACGGGGTAGGTAATGAGTCGGGTACATACTGGAATGTTTGGTTGAACATTAATAAAAAAAAAAAAAAACATCTTTTGTATGATTGGCATACGCAAGCTCGCCCCTGCCATCTAGTGGAAGACTACTTCACTGTTCCTGCACAAAACGTCAGTGAACATAGACAGTATTTGTGGTAATAAGATTTTTGGGACCAATCACTGATCTAATTTACTAATTAGCACCTGTAGTGTTGCATTTGAATATCGCCTCTACATTTTGTTGCATATTGACATGAACAAACATCATTGCTTTTGATTGAACAACTGCAATAAATTGCTTTCCCCCAATATATTAATTACATCGACATGTACTTACGTAAGCCTATAAAATACATAATTGGATAGTATGTCAATAAACAATGGAAAACAGAAAGCAACATTTTACCACCAATTTAACATTTTTTTTTTCGACAATGTAAATAAATGACTACAGTACGAACCCATTTTAAGAACGATGCTGCCGTCTTGTGGTCAGTCAGCTGTACTTCAATTCAACCCACATAGTTTTGGCCCAGCGCGGCTTCCGGACAAGGCACGCGACAACAGAAGGTCAAAGATGGCGGCCTCCGCTAAAAGCCTCGAAATATGTCTATTTTCCTCAAAGTTGTTGAGAAACATTCAGCTCCGGAATGAACGTAAGTGACCGCTTTTTGCTCAACATTAGCTTTTGTGAGTCCACCTGAGCTAACAGGAAGCGAACGCTGCTAGTTAGCGGAGAGGTCGACAACGTCCCCCTTGTAATGCAATGTTTATAAAGGCGTTGTTAAATAACCGGGACTTGTTTTGTTTTCAGGGTTCTTGTCCACGTCCGGGTGTCGTCTGGTTGCGGGAAGCGACGGAGGCCGGCTCCCGAAATTCACTCCACCGCCCAAGCCTGTCATAGTCGACAAAACACAGAATGAGGCAGCTCTGCGGAAGTATGCACAAAATCGAATTTCATTTCATTCATTTTCACGTTAATTGTACCGCTGGGAATCCCTCAAGGAGGGATTCGGATTTTGTTTGAAGGCAAAATCACTCAGCTCTACCTTGACGTGTGTTTGCATATTAGGTTCCTCAGCCCAGAGTTCATCCCACCACGGCAGAGGACAAACCCGTTGAAGTTTTACATGGAGAGGAAAGACATGGTGCGCAGGAGGACTGTGATCGACCTTCCTGAATTCTACGTGGGTAAGTCACTCACATCAGCATCCATTCTGCACACGAACACTGTTTTCGTAAATCATAGGGACTTGTGTGACTCTTGATTTTATAGGCAGCATACTTTCTGTGACCATGGCTGACCCCAACGCCAGCGGCAAATCAAACCGTTTTGTTGGCATCTGCATCCAGAGAGGCGGGAAGGGTCTCGGGGCAACGTTTATCCTCAGGAACATCATCAATAGTCAAGGTGACTTCATCTATCCGCTATTTTCGCTTCATAATACAACAGGTGATGTTGACGGTTCGGTTTCCAGGAGTGGAGATCTGCTACGAGATGTACAATCCGCGCATTCAGGAGATCCGGGTGCTGAAGCTGGAGAAACGGCTGGATGACAACCTGATGTACCTGAGAGACGCTTTGCCCGAGTACAGCACCGTGGATCCGGAAATGAAGCCTGTGCCCGTCTCCGCCAGCGGAGAGGTGCCAGTTAACACGGTGAGCAGGACATGTGGAAGACAAGCATGAACATTGTTTATCCGTCGCATAATTAGAAACATGGAAATAAAGTGGCATTTTGCAATTCAAAGACGTTACTAAGTACAACTGGAGTATCAAAGTAAACATGGCAGGTCCTCAAAAGAATGCCATCACGAAGCACAAGGTCTGCAACAAATCAAGACAAAAAAACAAACAAACAAAAAAAAAACACCAAATAAATGTTAGACACATTACAGTTGGGTTACGAATGGCACAACCTTGAGAGGAATTCATATTTGAACTCTGCTTCTCTCTCAATCCTCCAGCTTAAAGTGAAAATGCGTCCAAGGCCGTGGTCCAAACGCTGGGAGCGGCCCAAGTTCGACATCCGGGGCATCCGCTTCGATTTGTGCGTGTCGCCGGCCAGGATGGAGCGGGCGCAGAAGTGGGCAAAGCCTTGGCAAGAGTTCGAAATGTTGCGGGAGTACGACACTTCCAAGATTGAGCAGGAGATCTCCAGTGAGATCCAGCAGGAGATGAGCAAGTTGAAAAGCACTTGACGTCTTTGATTCTCCCAAAGACTCAACGGACTGGACTGAGTTACTTTTTCTTTGCTCGAAGTTTGTTTATGTGGGAAGGAAACATGGAACTGCTCATTTGCTGTAAAAAACAAACAAACAAACTGACTGTTATGTTTTGAGCAAGTGTCTTCACCCACTTGCAGATCTTCAAAATAAATATCACACAACATAGCAAGACTTGCATGCGTCTGTTGTTTTTCCTCATCTTGCCACTAGGCGGCACTGTTTCCCTTCATATACAGTACTCATGATCCGGTCAGCTGTTGCATAAACGAGCTTCTGTATTTGCCGGGGTGGGGGAAACCCGTGCCAGATTTTTGCCTTTCAATCCACAAAAGTGAGTTTAGTGCTTTCATCGCGCAAAACCCCAAAAAGAACCCTTTGAGTACAAGTTACAAATTTGGAGTATTTCACTCATGTAAACCTGATAACAGAGAGAAGTGGGGGGGAGGGGGCACGGTGGTATTGACAGCAAATGGACCAAGGACACCCAGTCGTGTTTTACTGTTGTGGATGGAAAGTTGCGCTGTTGGGAAGGTATGTCAGCGCGTCACTCGCCTAGTAAAAACACTTTAAGACTCCTTATGTTATGTCTGCTCTTGGTGAATGTGTACGTGTGTGTGTGTGTGTGTGTGTGTGTGTGTGTGTGTGTGTGTGTATAACCACTCAACGAGGCCCTGCACTTTAATTTCTCCATATTACAGGATGACACATGGAGAAAATGGCCTCTAATACGGGAGTAGCAGATGTTTACCAGACTCATTATGGACCACACAGATCGGAAACGCTTCGAAGAGGGGTTGTGGCAGTTAACGTCCGAAAACCTCCTTTCGGCATCATCGTACACACAGCAGCTTGTTTGGCCCCAAACTGTGCAACTGTCAAACCGCCCTAACTCCACTCCAAAAACAAAATAATAATCATGATAAACTTTTCTGGACCTGCAGCTAAAAAAAAAAAAAAAAAAAAGCTTTTGTATACAGTAAATCACCCAGCATGTTGTCATTCCGCCACCTTCTGTCTTGCTTTTGCCTCAACCCCCCCCCCCCCCCCCCCCCCCCCCCCCCCCCCCACACACACACACACATCTCTTCACGTGCAGAGGCGGAGAAGCGGGATGTTTATCCTGCCGCACGCTGCCAAGTCCTTATAAGCAGACCGCGGCTGCATGTTGAAAGCGCACAGTTACTGCTTCCAGGAACGCGCCAGTATGCGCATGCGTAAAACGGCAAGAGAGATCGCAATTGTATGTGCCTCCTGTGCCCTCAGGTTGACTTCTGTGCACCTGGAGAGGAGTTAAAGCCCCACTGGCTGAGAATGGAGATCACACAACACACACACACACACACACACACACACACACACACACACACACACACACACACACACACACACTCTCTCTCACATCTCACAGATTCATATCAGACAGACACCTCAAACAGCGCCAACTGTAAACGTCTGGGACAGGCCCGTCTTGTTTGGAAACCAGATACGTTCCGTTCACGGTCGCCATGGGATAAGTGGGCGGGGTTTACAGGTATTATTGACAAGCGTCTAATCGCTTTTTTTTTTTTAAAGTCTAGCACGTGTTTATACCCTTGCGTGGCATAGAAATGTATTTCCTGTGGAACGGAATCGACATTATTGAAAGTTGCACGTCACAAGTACGGAGCAATAAAATTCACTTACGTTTCCAACCCGGACAAGAGACATAAAAAACACTGACCAACAGAGGGCGACAGAGCTGCAGGCCAGAGGGCTCTCCATTTTTTTTTTTTTCCATCTGATAAATCAGATGGGGGGGAAACATAAGGAAGGGGGAAAAATATAGTCCCAAACTGGGCTCCTTGAAGTGGAGGAGCACAGGATTTGGAAAAAATAAATATAAAAATCAGTGTTTGAGATGTGTCCATATGACAAGTGCTCTGATCTTCAGCCAGCCACCCAGGTAAATTACATCCTGTCACCATGCATGTAGATGAGTCGATAAGCGCGTGTGTGCACACGTATGCTTACGCCAGGCCACCCGTAGTCGCGGGTAAATTACACACTTGAGTTTCACCATATGCTCCGAGCCACATGACCCGGCCTCTGCGCCTCTCTGGCCGTTCCCAGCGGGCCCCCCGACGGGCTCCTGCCGCCATCACTCTCTTTTTTTTTTCTTTTTTTTTGTGACGCGCTTGCACAGAGCCTGACAGAGGCGGCAGCTGT